CTTCCCACCGTCCCTCTACTCCCTGCTGCCCCTCCACTCCCCGCCGTCCCTCTACTCCCCGCTGCCCCTCTACTCCATCCACCGCAACGCATGCCAGCTCATTACTGTGCGTTGTGCAGCATTACATTGCAGCGCATTGTCACAGAGAGTTGCATTAGGGTGTCATTCAAATGGAGGCGAACGCACATAGCGCTGCACTATAGCATGCGTTCTCAGCCAGCTGTGTGACAACAAACGGGACTCGGTGACCCTGTGAACGCGGCTCCCAGTCCCTCCCTCCCTCCCATGCGTTGTCTCATGGACGGCTACAGGGAAATATAAAGGAAACAATGTGTCTGGCGGCGCACACGTCTGTAACTTCCCGCGTGTGCTCGCACACGTGTGACTGCTGTGTACCCATACACGTCGGTGACAACACGTGTCAGTCCTCATGCCGGAGTACAGCGGGGTCTGACGGAGGCCGCCGCCGTCGTTATATGTAGTTTGGGGTCAGCGATCGGCCCGGCATGCAGAACGATTCCTACAGGTTTCCTTTCTGTGTAATTATTCGGGGGGAGAAGCTCTGCAATGCGTGTCCCTTCGCTGCGTTTTGTTCTGCAAGTCCTGAGATTTACACTGCTCTGCCACATAGCACAATGGGTCTTGTCCCGCCCCCAGCCTGTGATTGGACAGTGAAAGGAGAAGCAGCAAACTAATGAGCTCATCTCTCCGTCACTCCGCTCTCTCCTCCTATCCGCATGTTGTCAGCCTATGACCTGATTGGCTCCTTGTGCTGCTTCTTCCTCTCACACTCCAGCTCTGCTCTCCGGGTCATATGTAGGAAGTGACACGGCTCGGAGACCGTCCCCAACACAGAACAACCATTACCTGGCCGGCCGTGTCCAGCAATTCCATGGTGACAACCTCGTCCTCCAATGTTGTCTGGTGCCGATACGTCGACTCTGAAGAGACGGGAGAGAAGAGATGACAACGCATGACGGGGTCACCGGCCTCCAATGGAGGAGAAATACAACCTGAGACAACGATGACATGAGACGTCAACCCTGAACCCAACCCCCTAATCCCAACCCCCTAATCCCAACCCCCTAATCCCAACCCCCTAATCCCAACCCCCTAATCCCAACCCCCTAATCCCAACCCTCCAATCCTAACCCTCCAATCCTAACCCTCCAATCCTAACCCTCCAATCCCAACCCCCTAATCCCAACCCCCTAATCC